TGACCCGCAACCCGAAGATGACTCTGTACTCGACCTCTTCTTATGCGTGTGATCGAAGAGTTCCACAGCGGACGGTGGCACGCCATTTTTTGCTTTCGTCTACATAGTAGCAAGTAATAAAAACATGTGTTAATTGTGTCATATTAAAAATCAAGCTACTAAAGTAATCGATATTAAGGACCTACCAGGCGAGCACCATGCATGGTGAATGTGATCGATCCACCAGTGTGTTTGGCTATATCACCTTCCACAATAGTCATTCGGTTATCACGCGCCACCTTGGAAACTACACCCTTCCAATGGGGTGTGTTCCAGCGATCAATCATCTCGCACCAGATACGATGATCAAGCCACTTAGGGTGGAAGCTCTTTAACATATTCATATCCCTATGAGGGTCGTTTTCTACATAGGGCATCGATTGTCTTCTGACTATTTCTCCTGCCCTTCTTCTAGCAGAATTCAGGCCATCATTGTAGTTTTTGGCACCCCGAGTCTACCATATCTGCAGCATCTTGGCGTCCAGTGATGAATCCCAACAATAGTACCTCTATACATAAAAGATTAGTTGCTTGTTGACTTCAAAATAAAACTAGCACAAATATAACAAGTTAAAAGAATACTACAAACCTGGAAACGCTCCCACATCCGTGTCTTCACCTCCTTAGGGATTTCCGACCACGTGCACCATGGCCCCTCAATCATTGATCGAATAATCTGAGTCAAATGACGGGTCGCATGGATGTTGTTAAACCTATGTAATGAGTTGAATTAATATCGATACCCAAAAATAATTAATTTGATTAATTAGTTAATATAACACTTACTCGTTGGATGTAACACCAATTCATTCTCTCAGTTGGAAGATGTTCTGGAGCATTGATGCCACAGACATTTGCAGACTCAAACTCATCTGCTTGTACAGAAGCACTACTAGATCCTGGGGCTAGTAATAGCTCGGCTAGGTGTAGCAATAGATGGAGTAGGTGTAGGTCGGCTAGGTGTAGCAGTAGATGTAAGTCGGCTAGGTGTAGTAGTAGATGGAGTAGGTGTAGGTCGGCTAGGTGTAGCAGTAGATGGGGACGGAGTACCTGTAGAATCGCCCCTACCTCCTCCACGCCAAATACACGGCATACTGTAACAAGTCTATAAGAAAGGGGTTATTAAAATAATAAAGATTTAAAAGATAAATTCACAAAGATAACATATAGACGAGTACACATGTAAACAAACTTTATTAACACTAAAGTCAACCTAGTATTTAATCATCTGATGAGTGATCAGACAAGTCAGGTTCTTCTTCATCTAAGTCGATATCGGAGTCTTCAAACTCTTCTTCATCACTACTCTCGTCAGCATGCCAGTTGTCACGACCATCAATGGCAACTTCTATGTMTTCTTCCTCCGTGACAAGACAGATGGGTTCATACACTTCTTCGTTTGTACCTATGGATGTTATTCTATCATTTTCTTGAAAAAATTGTTCYTCATYCACATTTTCATCGGAAGGTACTTCGGTTACACATGACGCTAAGTCATAGACCCCTCTTGGCTTTGTTTTCACCACAGACCACCAATCCTTTAATGAGTTTGATGGATATGGTACATAATATACTTGTTCAGCTTGTGATGCTAGAATAAACGGGTCGTCTGAACGAAGTCTTGATCTATGTTTGACATCCACAATATTATGTTTTGGGTCAACTCGAACGCCATTAACCGTATCAAACCATGTGCATCTGAATATCGGTACAGCACAACGACCGAGTCCATACCCATGATATTCTATCTCTAGGACTTCATCCAACAACCCATAGTAGTCAGACTCATACTCTGAGTAACAAGAGCCTCTCACGCATACTCCACTGTTATGAGTGGTGTGACCGGTACCGTGTGTTAGGGTGTGGAATTTGTAACCATTTACGAAAAAACCAGGGTGTTGAATAGCATAACGGAGTGGTCTTGAAGCCAAAAATTTTAGACGATCGGTAATGGGGTCATACCCAGACGTAACCTGTAATGGCAAATAATCATGTAATTGGTAACATTCTATTGAAGACATATAAATAAGGATAAATAATTACAATATGTATATACTTACATAGGTCTCAAACCAACCCGCAAATTCTTCATTTCTTCGTCTATCGAGCCCCCGCTTCATCAATATACGGCTCGTTACGTTTAACCTCTTCATCAAACACTACAATCAAAGGAGATACTTCTTCACAATTCAATAAGATGTATGTGTGAGCCTTGTGTAGATCTCCATCTTGTAGCCGACAGTGTGTTCCAGCCTTACCATATAGTTTCCGAGATGGGGTGTTAAATATGCTTAACCGCATATCAGAAGACGAACATTCGGGGGCAAAATTCTGAGGCTCACGATTTAGCCGTGTCTCTACCGTTGGTTCAAAATACAACGAGCAATAGGTAGATAGTTCGTTAACCAAATATGCCTCAACAATCGACCCTTACTCCTGCTCTATTTCTTACTGTCCTTTTCAAGGACCCTAGACGTCTCTCGTAAAGATACATCCATCGATATTGAACCGGACCACCAACTAATGCTTAACGCGCTAGATGTACCACAAGGTGTTCCATGGAATCAAAGAACCCCGGTGGAAAGACTCTTTCCAACTTGCATATAGTTTCAACGATTATCGTCTGCAATTGAAGCAAGTCGTCAACATGGACCACTTTCGAGCATATTGCACGAAAGAATGTGCACAACTTAGTGATAGCGTCCCATATTGTATTCGGTACCATCTCTCTAATGGAAATAGGGAGCAATCTTTGCATGAACACGTGACAATCATGACTTTTGAAGCCATAGAAACTACCATCTTCAACATTTACTAATGCCCCTATGTTGGAAGCATAGCCATCTGGAAATTTCAACTTCTTCAACCAACCACACACCTTTCGTACTTGCTCTTTGTTCAATGTGTAAGAGGCTTTCGGTTTAAATACTTTATTTCGTTCTTCACGTATATGCAACTCCGGTCGGTTGCAATATTCTGTTATGTCTTTCCTTGTTTTTATGTTGTCCTTTGATTTTGGTGTATCCATAATCGTGTGAAACAGATTATCAAACACATTCTTTTCAATGTGCATTACATCCAGGTTCTGTCGAATTAACAAAGTATGCCAATAGGGCAACTCCCAGAAAATGCTCCGCTTTACCCAATTGTGAGTTACTCCAAAACCTGCGGGCTTTCTATAGTGTCTTGATCCATGCGGGATGCCATCATAAATGGTAGGAAGTCTACAGACTTCTGCCCATATTTGTTCTCCCGTTAATAGCGGGGGTGCATCAGCTTTTTCGGCATGTCTAACACGAAATTGGTTCCTATCACGCCTGCAAGGATGTCTCATAGGTAGGAACTTGCGATGACAGTCAAACCAACAAGACTTTCCTCCGGTTCGTAATTGGAATGCAGATGCATTACCCATGCAATAAGGACATGCTAGTTTGCCATGCGTGCTCCAACCAGATAGCATGGCATAAGCAGGGAAGTCACTAACTGTCCATAACAGTACGACACTCATCTAAGAACCGAATGATCCTGGATAGTTGAAGTTTTGGACCTGATTCGATCCAATTATAATTGAATATTAATTGGTCGGTTTAAATTAGATTGGATGACATTCAGTCTTACCTGGATAAATTAGGAAACCAATATTTTTGATAATTTGACTTGAAATTATAATTCAATGGCATTTTAGAAAGAAGGGATAGAGAAAGCCTTTCTTAAGAACCATTATCTACTTCATATTACTTGGCCAATCTGTGTGTCTACATAGGTCATTGAGTCAACATTTGGGACCAAATTAGTTTGACCCCTTTTGGTTCAATCCATCATGATCCTACAACACCTATGTATGTGGTTGTGTTCCTATTCACTAGAACCTCTTCATTTTCTATCTATGTAAACAAACCATGGAATCCCCATTCTCAACTTCACTTTTCTTATACTGTGCCTCTGCCCTTCTCTTATTTGCTTTCTCCCTTGATTCCCAACAGCTAAAACATATTGTGACACATTGTATCAGCTAAAACAGCTCCTAAAAAACTTAAGCCTTTTATCCTATACTAAGCATCAATTTTAAGCCTTTGTCCTATACTAACCCGCTTCAAAACAGCTCCTAAAAAGCTTCAAAAACAGCCCCAAAAACAGCCACATGGATTTTACTTAGAGAAATTGCAAAAATAAACAGCCCCAAAAACAGCCACATACAGTCCCAAAAACAGCCACATACAGTATTAGCATACATACAGAAAATAGCCACATACAGTCCCAAAAACAGCCACATACAGTCCCAAAAACAACCACATACAATATTAGCATACATACAGAAAACAACCACATACAGTATTAGCATACATACAGAAAACAACCACATACAGTATTAGCATAGATACAGTATTAGCACACATTATAAATCCAAATAGATTGAAACTTGGTTCACCCTGAGAAGTGAAAACAACAAATAATATAAAGACAATTGGAACTCCATTAGCAACTATCTACCCTCAATTAGCTACCAAGACACCAACAAAAATTTCTAACAAATATGACAAAAATTTCCAACAAAAAGGAGAAGATATTAAGCATACCCCACTGGTCGATAGTCGTGAGTGAGAGCGAGAGCCTTTTGCGAAATTGGACCCTTCGATAGCCGTGAGTGACAACGTTAGAGGGAGGCATGAGTCGATAGTTGTGAGTAACAGTGTTGGAGGAAGAACAGGCGTGAGTCGAACGTCGTGAGTGACAGCGTGAGTCGAGAGGGAGGCGAGAGGGAGGAGTCGAAAGGGAAGAGTCGGGAGGGAGGAGTCGAGAGGGAGGCGAGAGTCGATGGAAGAAGAGGCCGGTTAACCTAAACTCTATAATACAATTTGGGCCAATTTTAAAAATATTCAAATTTTCGACGGACTAATCCGTCGGTGTTCCGTCGGAAAAATTAATTTTTAAAATAAAATAATGAAATCCGTCGGAATATTTTTTAAATATACAAAATATTTTATAAGATTTTCAACAGATCTTTATATTTAAAATAAAAATTAAAGTCAATAGTACCCGTTAAAATCCATTAAGATCCATTGAAGACCAAATAGTACCCGTTAAGACCACTAAGATCCATTAAACTCCACCAATATCCATTAAAACTCAATAATACCTGTAAAAGCATAATTGAAAACCCAATAGATCTATTAAAGACCAAATAGTACCCGTTAAAGCTCAATAATCCATTAAAGTCCACTAAGATCCATTAAAACCTATTAATACCCTTTAAAACCCAGTTGAACCGAATAAAACCCAATAACATCCGTTAAAGCCCAATTAATACCCAATTGAACCAAATAAGACCTATTAGCTCCATTAAAGCCTAGTTGAACCAAATAGTACCTGTTAAAGTCCACTAAGATCTATTAAAGTCCAGTTGAACCGAATAAGGCCCAACAGTATCCGTTAATGTCCAAT